AGAAAATTTAAACAAGTGAACTCATTATGCTGGCAGGAGAGAAACGGATGGATCTTAAATCACTGAAGGCTCCTATATAAATTTTTGTTTCATTTAAGCAGCCTGGGGGAACAGAGGGAAGCCAGTATAAAAACGAGAAAAATTTTCTATATCTCAACACTCCCTCATGTCCCTTAATTCCTTTTTTTACATCATTCAATATACCAAGCTGAATATTTTTTTATCATGTAATGGTTGTTTGAGAACTCTGAGTTCACTCTGAATTTCAAGCAAAACTAGAAATTAACAAATTATTTTTGTCAAGTTGACTAAATCCACAACTATTGAATCCCTCTAGCACATGTTTCATTTAGTTTACCTTTTTGAGGTTTTTTGATTAGTGGTATCATGCTAGATAATATCCTTTTATTTGGTTACTTTGAAGTTTGATTAGTCTAGCCTTTCCCTTCAGGATTTATTCTCTGCTTATGTCAATTAGTATTGGGGGGGTGTAGATTCCATATAAGACATTTGAAAACAACAGGAGGTTTCATCACTAAAATGACTGCTATGAATGAAGTAAAGCTATTTTTAAAGCTTTCCTTCTCCACAAGATTACCAATTATAATTTTCTGTGCGTTCAGTCCCCACATTTCAAGGATTTCCGTGCAAAGTTTTCCGTAATTAATTGACTAGTTAACAGACAATTCAAGTTTCCTTACCAGATAATGTGATTTTGCCCCTCTGCTGAGCCCTGTTGAGACATAACTGGAGAGCTCGGAGCAGGTCTGGATTCCCTTCTCACATGAGTGAAATGGACATAATGAAGTAAGCCCAGTAAAGGAGCACAAAGGCCATCAAGGGAGAGGCTGAGAGTGCTGGGACTGTTTCTGTTTGAAAAGAGCAGGCTCACAGGTGTCTTATGAGGACATGCACCTCCCTCTCTGGTGGCAATGTAGAGAAGGCCTAGCCCGACTCTTGATGCTGCCCAGTGACAGGGTAAGAGCAAATGGATACAAATTAAATATTAGACATATCACTTCAACATAAGAAAAAACTTGGTGCCCTTAAAAATAAGGGAATAGCAGCATTTTGTCACCTTATCATCAGTCACATCTTGTGGTCTCCTTATGGGTATGTACATTGTTTAAATGATCCAGGAAAGTGATTTAGGGTCACACTGAGAGCAGTGTGGAGTTTACTGTTAATATTGAGTTTATTAATGAAGCAATCTATAGGAATCTACCAGAATTATGGATCAGTTTCTACTTAAAAGAAATTATACTGACAGCAAAGCAACTGATTGCAGTAGTGTAACAGTACTCATGTTAATAGGGTTCTTTCATTAATAATATTTATTGAAAATTTAAGTAAGGCAAAATAAATACGGTCCTGAAAAGAAACAAGAAACAACATGAATAAGTCATATTCTTTAGGAGGCTCATTATGGGATGGGAGGGTAAAAAGATAGGCACATGGTGGAGAAAGAGAGGTAGAGAGATAGAGAGAGAGAATGAACTGAGATAGTTTCTTCTCTCAAAAAAGCCGCTCTAAGTAATGCACATTCTCTTTTACTGCATTAATATACTCAGCTGCCCTACTACTTCATCTTAGGTGGTTCCACCTCTACAGGAGTTTTTTGGGACTAAATACGACTCTAATTTTTTAATAGATTACCATGGTATATTATCATTATTATTATTGTTATTGTTATTATTGATTATGATGGTAATAATAATAATTCACATTTTCAGACTGCACCTTAGCAAAACTCCTTTGAATAATCTTTATTCAGAATCACCATGTGATGATATTCTTGGAACACTAAATAAATTGGAACATTCTTGGAACACTCATTGTGTAGCTATGTATTTTGTGACCATGCAGCTACCTATTACATATTTATGCAATGTTACTTTATGTTTTAAACCTTTCTGATATGCTTTTAGTAAGCTTTCCCTAATTCTGGTCATTATGCCCAATGACTTGATACATAAATTAAAATACTTACTGAGAAGAATTTGACCAGAGAAGAGGGTCATGTCTTAGGAAGGAGATTTATGTACACTAAAAACACTTGAATTCTTTCAGCGAACTCTGAAACTAGTTTTGCTTCTAGTGTTTTGCAAATGTTTGGTCACAATCTCCCATTTGTCCCAGTGTTCTCATTTCCTTAAAAACTGGCACTACAACCTACAAAAAAAGTCAGTACTGTGGAATCAGGACAGCAACCAGTAACAAGTAAAAGCACCACAACTGTGTATGTGCATGAGTAAAAGCATTCTTGTTTAAAATCAGTAAATTACACAAACATTTGGTTTTTGCCCAACTGTTCTTAAAACAGCGTTTTGCTACAAGATCTTTATCAGAGAGTCCTGTAAATTGCAATGTTTTAAAGATAAGGAAATGCATACTCATGGATGCATATTCATTATGCTCAGTCAAGGGAAAAGAATTCTGTATTTAGAGAGATCCTTCCTTACACAGCATTCTTTAAATACTGACAGTACCAATCATCTTGAAGAGAGATGATAAAGTTTTAAAGAAGACACAAAAATGTCTTCCTGTTAAGTGGCTACTAACACAGTGCCCTGGATTCAATGACTGCTCTTGTGCAGCAAGAGTAAATATCAAATATCAGCAATCTTTCAAACTTTTCTTTTTTAGGGCAATGGATGTGGGACTTAAACAAGTAAAAGAAGTAAAATAGTTTGTGGTTTTAAGTCTTCAGATCACTTCAGTCCAATTCCCTGCTTTCACATGTCTATCTTGCTGCAATTTCTTCTCTTATACAAGAACTTTACTTTCTTAATACATTCTTCTGGGGTGTTACTCTCTAGCCCCTCCAAAACAACAAGGACCTATTTCCTAACGGGACTATGTCCTTTGAGTGAAAAAAACATATTCAAACTCACTTGCAATAGTCAGCAATAATGTTGTTTCAAAACAGAATGACCCAAACACAAACTTCCTCAAGGAAGCATTTTTCACCAATTCATTTTCCTCTGTATATAGTTTCCATTGTCAACAGGCTGCAATGGATGTCTACTCCAGTACTGGAGATTATACCAATGATACATTCCAAAGCCATCCAAGAATGCAGCTTGCAGAATTAGTGCAAGTGATTAGAGTTCAGTACAAGCACAACCTACTGCTGTAGCTTCCAGATGCAAAATTCCATGGAGATCTAATTATTTCAAATGAGCAAAGAAGGAACAACTTCAACATGAAAGTAAGTGAAGATTGTAAATTGAATAAGGAAAACAAAGAAGCTGGGAAGGGTTGGTCCTATTGAAAGGTCTATAAATACTCTGCAAAGCACCAAAATACCATGAAACCAATACTTTAAGGAATTTCATTCCAATGCCAAGTAACAGAATGTACTCATTGTGACTAATGCATCAAAATACTGAAAATAAATTCTAACAGATTAAAAGGATCTTGTAGCAAGAGAAAGGGATCGTTAAATCATGCCAAACTTAATCAAGCTTAAGAGCAGGGCAGTCTTTGCCCATTATTAATAAGAATGTAAGATGGATAAAGCAGACTGTGAAACTGGAATTTATGGTCAGTACAAGTAATACAATATTTTCTACAATTATGTTTTTAATTAAAAATCAAAAGACAGACATTTTTACCATTGCTGCACAAACTTAAGTCTGATCTTTGTTGTCTCCCACATACATACAACTTCAGCAAAATGTTATTAAATGGGATGAAACCAGAATATAGTTCCAAATGCAAAATCAAATCCATGACTTACATGCTTACATTTCTACATGGACACATGAAAATATTTTTAAATCTTGATCACTTAATCCTGTGCTTTGTGGTCAGAAAATACTGTTCACCCCTGCCAATCTGCTGTCCAGTTATATGTGAAAATTGCTGTTCCATAAGGGTAAAGCAAGAGACAGAAAAATTGCCATTACTTTCAGGCTTCAGCTGAGCTTTTAAAACACATGGTCAAACACGTTGCCATGGAAATGTTCCGCAAATATATGTAGAATTTCTTAAGATGGAGTCGAATATCCCTTTTTAAAATAAATTTCTCCTACAATTTTAAATATAATTGTTCTATGATGTATTCAAGGGAATACATCAGCCATTATCTAACATTTATAACACCTGAAGTGCTAACAGTATCTCCAAATCTATTTTGAGTTCCATATATGAAATTAGGCCACTATCTTCCTATGTAAAATACCCATATACCTGCTTTCTTTTATGTACTGACTTTCCTATACATCATCACAACACACAACAGATTAGCAGATCCACAAGCATTAGTCTTGCAATAAAGCTGACAGCAGTTACGAGAAAAAACAACAACAAGAGATATGCTTCAATAAAATTAATCTGGTTTTTAATAACATTCTAAATTTTTAAGATATTAATCTTCTCTTCTACATGCGTCACTGAGTGTAATAATTAAAAAGAGGAGAGTTATCTTGCCAAACTTTCACTGCTATGTTCCGTGAGCTATTTTTAAAACTGATTTGAAATGAAGCAAAAAGAAAAAGAATCTACTCCTGCAAAATGAAGCAAGATCTGTGCTTGCAGAATAGCCCTGTCCGGTTACACAATGTGATACGTTGTTTTAAATAACCTGGCACTGTAGGTAAACAGTTGCCTTATACTGCATTTCATATGACAAACAAACACAATCACGACAGCTTTTGTGTGCCGTGTAAAGATAAAGCAAAATAAAAATGAGTACAATCTTGTCATTTTACTTTACAGCAAAGGGATAACCTTTCACCATTAATTAGTTAAAAGAAAACATATTCACAATAAAACAGGTTGAAAATATATGGAGAATAACCTTACATTTTTCAAATAAAAATGAGCACATTAGAATTCCAAGATATACGTTGCTCTGCTTATGTAAACAGTCTACCCTATAAATCCTGTAGCAAATCCAACATGAAGCAATTACACAGACAAAGAGATTGCAAATGACCTAAAATTGTAAAACAAACCCTGTGTTAGAAATATTTGTATAAATCATGAGGTCATACCTGATGACTTAGGGACTGTAATGTCTCACCGGTTCCAAGCTGCATGACCTTTCTATTTCCAGAGACCCCCAAAAACTGCATTTCCTGTCTTAGCAAAGTACATCACAGACCTATCTGTCTTTCAAAATCTTCTGGGCTAGTGAAGAAAGCATTAATAGCCATTCTGTCCATCAGTAAGTGCTGGAGTCATTACCCTCGAGATATCAGATCTTAAATATAGTTTCCTCGGTGCGATTACAGACATCCAGCAGTCGAGGAGGCTGACACAGCTATATCACTGATGCTGCTAATGCCATCTGAAAACAGTAAGCTTACTGCTTAAAGCAATCCTGCATCGTCCAAACAGAACAAGCCACATCCTTCAACTCCTCACTCGCGTTTTTTATAAAACCTAGCACTGCCATTATAGATTTTGTTTTCATCTCTGGTCAGCTAAAGGAGAAACTAGATATTATGTAACCAGCTTTGCATTAACGAAAGAAAAACGGCAGATGAAGTGACATATCGAGGTTATCAGATTTTGCTTGCATGACCACTCCTCAGCAAGCACAGTCACCATTCACAAGAAACATCACAATCTGATCTAAAGAAAAATCACCAGAAATAAATTATAAACAACTCACAGGCAGAAAGGTATCTTAATTCCTCTGTGATACTGAAACAGCTATTTTTATGAAGGCTTATTAATCCTAGTCCCTATTAAAATAAAAATATTGCTTGCCTAGTATTTTAGTGTCTATTTTTAATAAATTGCATGATCACTGCATTGTTTCCATTATTCCCTGCTAGCAGCCAGAAAACAGCATGACTTGAAAATGTGCCAGTGTTATGACAGCAAAAATGTGGTTTGATATCAAGCAAAACAATCATGTATAAATTTTTTCTGATAAGAGAGACCTTTCAAGCAAACAATGTACAGTAACCTCCTTAATAATTTTAAAATTATTAAGACTACAAATAACTGGATTTTTTATTAAAACATATGTTTTATACAAAGTAAAATTTCCTAGTGGAATTTGTTATTATAAACCATTATTTTTATTTACTGTTGCTAATATTATGGCAGCATAGATGCAAACAAACAAAAAAAAAAAAAATTCACAGACCTAAGATGAAACAGTGCCACCAAACTGGTAAAAGTATCATTTTGCAATTTCTCTGAATTCCAGACCAAAGAACAATTATTTGTGTTCACTTAGTGAAATACTAATTCTGAGGCATCCAGTTCATTTGCTTAAACACACAGGAATTTTCTCTCAAGACATATTGAAACACTTTGCTACCAATTGAATTTTACTGACAAATAAAACTTGGAAGAAAAAATGCTACCCTAATTTAACTTCAGTTTGCTTCAAGTGTTATTCAAATTAATTTGGATGTCCTTCTTTACTTCAAAATATAAGCAGAAGCTGAAAGTAGAAGCAAATAGTTCTAAATTAATTCACCCAAATCCTATCCTGTTAGTTTAACATTATTAGTATTATTATTATACAGTTGTAGTAATCACTCCTTTGTGTAACTGAGGAGTTAATCAAATTTAGCTTACAATCATTCACATTATGGCACTGATAAAAGCAAAATGGTCTCATCCATGAATACCACATACTTCCCTTTAGAGGGAGAAGCTACCTGCTATCAGTTTTAACTGAGTTCACTTTATCCAGGGTGCAACTGCCTTCAACATAAGGATGCTACATCTCCAGGGAAATGGAACAGTCAGCCACACACTGGTACAGGGTCTCCAGTGAAGTGTCCAGCAGCCTGGCAGAGCCAGTCAGTGAAGCTTTGAAGTGCAGGAGAGAACCAGATAAGGCCCAACTTGATGCTGCTTTTTATGTTCTCTGAGAGTTAATCCTTATGTCCAACAACCTGACACTGTCTTTTTACTGCTGCTGGCAGTGGCAGTCAGGGAACCACTTCTTGAACACTGGGAATGTTCTCAAAAGCTGCCACTTTTTAGCTTGCTCCAGATTAACTCATGAATTCACTTTCAAACCAGAAAATATTACTAAATCTACGCACACAAAAATAAATGCATATGAACATGGACACAAAAGGCCCTTCAAAAAACAAACAAGAGTAATTTAGCAATGAAAGGAGAAAACAGTTTTCCCCGCATCAGTATGGAATAGGAATATCTCCAAAAGTAATATTTTTGTTTCCAAAGGTAATTTACAAAATTAATACAACACAAACACTAAATATTAAGTTACTTCCTCCTGTGCAGACCCTGAGTTCTGTCTGAATTCATTCTGTCCACTGTCTACTCACAACCATGTAAGGGACTACAACCCCATATCTCTAAATTGCTGCTTCCAAGTCCCCAAAAGCTGCTTGGTAACATACAAAGGCCAGTAAGATGGTAAGAAGTGATATAAAAATGTAGGTTGCCAAGCAACCTTTCATAAATATTATGTAGGCTCCCCCTGTGCAAGTCTTGTACTGCATGATGATCTCCACTCAAAGAGTGAAAAACACGCAGCTAGGGGCTCTCCCCACAGCTGTCAAACACATCACTTCAGAGTTTCTGCTCACAAAGAGCACATGGTCTCTCCTCCAGCTGGACACTTGAAGAATTCAAGAACTAGCAAAACACAAGGTAGAAGACTATTCTCCTGAACTTGGTTAAGATCTCAGTACAAAATATAAATGCACTCAGAAATATAATATTATTTCTTTGTGCACATTATCGCAGCTAATGGAATACTTTTATTGAACTTATTCCATGCTTTTCCTCATGTCAATACAATTACTTTTTTGCTAAAGTGAAAATTCTAACATTTCATTAACAATGTTAAAGCAGAGGGTAGAAATACAGTAACATTTTTAAAAATATAGGTATTTATTCTGAGATGTTAAAGCAAAAGTCATCCCCTTTAGAATATCAACAAGTACCACTTTATGTCATACAAAAAATTACTCACAAATATAGTTTGCTTTTATCTAATTCTTCTTCACAGGACAAAAAGAAAGAAAATTCATTTCTTGTGAATTATGCAAGGTAAAATAATGGTCACTTTGAATCCACCACAAAACAGTTTCATATCAAATAGAGCTGACCTAAGCAGTGAGGGAGCAAGCAACAGAAGTTCTGTCACTCAGCTTTTTAAATTAAGTGTAAGCTGTGTTTGCTAGTACTAATGATCATGATAAAGAACATTTTAAATGAGTGCAAGATATTGGAGACTGTGAAAGGTGAAATTATGTAGAGCTGCACCAAAAGAGCTGGAAGAACAATACAAATGCATATTTCTCAGCAGTAATTTGAGGGATCAGTTATACTACATATTTTTATAAATTACCAGAGCATAGGATGAATTACAGAAAAAAAATCACAGTTCAGAAATTTCTGATATGGGAAAGCACTGCTAATATATGTAAGACTGGAACAGTACCAGGAAGACATGGATTACCTCTAGGACCACAACAATAAAACTGAGGTAAAATTTAACAGTGCAAAATGCAAATATGTGAACTTGACAATTATTACATTTCTGCTGAAAATTGACACCTCAGAAGCTGAAAATTAGAGTGGATGAAATTTTTGGTACAAAGAAGATCACAAATAATTATGAGATATCAAAATTATGTCCCTATGGAAATGAAATTAAATTTTTAATTTATCAGGTAATGTATTTCTAGTACATAGATATCAACACTAATGCAATAATAAATTCTGTTACAATTCTATTGTTCTTGATTTTGATCAACTATTGTCTGGAAGAGAAAGACTTCTACAACGGCCAGGGAAAATTTGAGAAGAAACTGAAAACATCTGCTTTGTTTAGCTTAACAAACAAAAGACTAAAAGAGAGATCTGCATGGGTGTGTCAAGGATGAAGTGCCAAGGAAAAAGAAATTCACATACAAATTTGTAACAAGCACAAATCCATACTATATCATCAATAATTTGGGGAGTTTTTACACTATCAGAGGCTGGAGGCCTGAAAGTGGAGGAAATCAAAATTAGAAAACACAAAAATGTGCACCTTGCACACCTCTGTTTCTAAAATATATGAAAACACTGACAAAGGAAGAAAAATGCAGAAATGTAAGTTACAGCAGAATTGGTATCAAAGACAGGACCTAAAGGAAAATCCACAGATTGCAATGAGGCTCAACACTGATTGGAAATTGGTTTAGAAACCTGAATCTAAAAAAAAAAAAAAAAAAAAAAAAGACATGACAACAGTTGGTTTCTCATGTACTGAAGATACCAAACCTTCATCTCCATACGTAGAATGGTATTAACAATATTAAAAGCTCAGTAATTTCTCTTAACCAAAATAAATTAAAAATTCCAAGTTTTAGCTGATTGCTCAGATCAGGTTAAAATTTTGTCTTTGTAGATGAGTGGAGTAAGCTGAAAAGTAATTAATGATAGCCATTCTGCTTTAATCCTGATGAGAGGACTATTTCTATTGCCTTTCTTTAGTCTACACATGTATCTTATTCAATTCTCCCATTTTATTACTGGGGTTTGGATAAAGAATTAATATTCTTCTTTAGGGAAAAAGGAAGATCATTAGGAAATTGCAGTTTATTTTTATTAACTCAGTTTAAACTTGTTACATTTTATGGACATCTCAAATGAGATATTGTCCGAAGACTCTCCTGGGATTATGTCAGCAGGCATTATGTAAGTCTAATCAGCTCCTCTGTGGACTGTAGTTAAAGGAAACTCAAAACATTCATAAAACAAAATAAGAAACAAGTAGAGGCAGACCTGAATCATGGATGCATAGTCAAAATTTGCAAATTAACTGCCTGGTTCCAAATCTGCCTGGCAGATAATGCAGCTGTATTAAAACCTGCCTTCCCAAATATCCCACTGGTAGTGTGGCTGAATCCTAAATTTAAAACCCAAGCCTGTACATCTGGCCAGTCCCTGATGATCCAGATCACTACATTACATATTATTGACAAATTATAATAAATTTATAAAAAAACAGCATCAAACCAAGATTTCTTTCCAACATTTTACCTTCAAAAACTATTTTAAAATGTCTGGCATCCCATTTCCCAGAAGATAATGTAGGAGAAGGCTGACATCTCCTTTCTCTCAGACTGCTGAGGAGCAA